TTACTGGAAAACTTGAAGATCAATTTTTCATCCAGTGCCTAATTTTCTTCTAAAATTCCAATTTTTTAGATGCAATTTCGCCCAAATAGAGATATCATTGTCCTTTGCACTGTTTTTCGCACCGATTTCTTTTTTACTAACTTTGGCAACATCTACTTTCAAAACTCGCTGGTTACCTGATTTCTCGCTCACTTCCGTCCGTTTGTAAACATCGCGATCGCCTCTGTTGAATTTTTCCCGACCATGTTTACCTGTTTTATTACTCGTCTCGTAAACAAGTTCAAGTTCATCCTTCGACACGGGACCAATTTTTCCCAAGTCGTCGCAAATTGAGAACGAGGCTCTTTGCTCTTCGTAACCTACTGTTTGTTTACCAAAATATTGCTCCTCCTGAACCATTCCAATATCAACTGACACATCTTCTAAAACGTGCTCTTCCAAATCGCCTGAAATCACATTTTCTGTGGCACGTTTCATATTATTGTGATCTTCGTCCACCTTGTTCACCTCTGAAACAATACTTATCAAAGCTTTATTAAACACGCAATCAGAACTTGAGGAATGATTTAAAACATTGACGTCATCCGTGACGCTATGAAACTTACGGGAATTATCGGTCTTCAAATGAATCCTGTCGCAACCATTAGCATCATTTGCATAACTTATCATAACCTCCTCATTAATTTCTATTAAATCATCAGCTTCCAGTTCAACTTGATTATTTGTCTCATATCGATTACAATTATCACAATCCGTATCATCCTCGACTTTTGAATTTATTTTAATGGACGTGAGCATATTATTGTTAAAATGAACCTCTTCGTTATCATTATCATAGTTTTTATACGTCATAACTTCTTCATTAAAATCTATTAAATCATAAGCTTCAAGTTTGTCTTCTTCAATGATATTACTGTCCCAATCATAATACTTTGGTTTATAGTCTGGGGCATCAAAATCTATTATTTTTCCGTTGTCATCAAACACTTGAATTTCGAATTCAATCTGTCCACTATTCACTAAATCCATATACTCATGGATGAAAGATGGTTTCTTTGAGACTTGTTGCTCAAACCCGCTTGATTCAATTACATCCATCTCAAAATTTTCATTTAAAAAAAAAACATCCTCTTTCCTGATGAAACTTTCGAATTTTCCGCCATCATTCGGTCGGAAACTTGATTACTTACGCAGCTTTTCAGGTAAGTATTATGAATTTACTTCGACCCAAATCAAGATTAATTCAAGGCCACTAAAAGAGTCGGTGAGTGAATCATTTGACTGAGTTTTCTATGTGAAACCGATACGAACCCTAAAATCAGCCGTAATTTTCTCGAAATATGACGTAATATATTTTTCTATATTAATATATTTCATTCAAATCTGTTTGTATGCCCTCGAAAAGAAAGAAAGCAGAATGAAGAGGAACGTTAAAAATAGTAATCGAATTATAATAAGGCAGCGACAATCAGTCCAGCGGGCTGATTATTGAAATGGATGATAGACAAAGCGACGGATGAAGACGACAAACTGAAAATAAAGCGATCCTATTGGTGGAAGCGGGTGGTTGCAATGCTATGGACACAGGAGGTAACTAATGGCAACCCGCGAGAAACCCTGTAGTTAGTCCATAATTTTCCCCGTAGGCCATGACAACTACACTGATGAATATATTTGTGTTCTTGCGTTACTTTTGGTTAAAGCTTGGTTAAAGTATAAAACACAAACCGACACAAATTTTGTGTTGATTGTGGTTCAGTTTGCAGTTTTACAGGGACTGGGGAAATGAGTTCCTCCAATTGCGACGCTCGTATTAGCACTCCTTTTTTTATTAAATTTCTTCCAAAAAAAAAAAAAAAAAAAACTGGCATTTTCTCTTGAAATTTTCAACCGAAGGCTAGGGTAATTTTGTACCTTACTTCCCGTATTAACCAAACTTTTGTGTTGAAATTTTTCTCTGTGTACTCGTTTCAACCAATAGGATCGCTTGATTGTCCCTTGATTGATTATCTTGATTATCTTATTTGTCTATCGCCTTGTCTATCAAATTTGTAATTTTATACTCAGCGCGCATGCGCGGATACCAAACGAGAGCAAATCATCGCATCGCTTTCCCCATACAAACGCTGCGACGTCCCCTGTGACGCTATAGACTGGGTCGATTTTGAAAGGTCGGATTTATCCGTGTATACAACATCCAAAATCAGCCGGAATCTCGTCGATGAAGCTCTTGTGGTAGATTAACCCCATAGAGTACATAGAGTCGTAATGTAAGTGGGTGAGCTGGCGCCACTTTTAAGCATTTTCCAGGTCCCGAATTCCGAGACTCCTGTGTGACGCCGGGTCACTTTTTCGATAGGTACATAATCGATTGTTCGCGATACACGGGTACCCGGCCATCCAATGTAAACAAAGAAGATAGGAATCACCACGTATTCCACACCGCCATTTTGGATCAGACATATATCGAAAAAGTGACCCGAACTCGGCGCACACCGGGCTCGGAACTCGTCGAGCAGAACATGGCGCCAGCTCTCCCATTTACATTACGACTCTATGTACTCTATGATTAACCCTTTCATTACTCGGGCTACGGAAAGCGCACGCTGTGCACCACGCCCGAGTATTCTCGTTTTCGGATAGTCACTTAGTTTTTCCGCTCTAGCGCTACCATCAGCTCTCCGAATATATCTAACCAGGAGGATATGAACTACAAATTGAGACCAATCTCGATAGAGTGCGCCACAATCGGTCCTCACAAATTTCATGTAAACATATGTGAAGAGCATGAGGAATTCCAGTTCGACTGTTCGAGGTTAGAATCCTTATCGCGTATGTGCTACTGTTTACATCGTGGTATTTTCTATTAAATTGTGCTAATTTTTTATCAAATCTCGTCGAAAGTTTTATGCTGAATTAGTGCCGTGTTGTTTCATCAATTTTACCAAGATGAACGCGCTGAGTGACTCTCAAATCGCGGAAATAGTGACTCAAATCGAGAGCGAGGAGGAGAGTGACAATGAAACAGCTGACATTAGTGATGAGGACTCCGACGATGACATCCCTCTCGCAAATTTAATTAATAATGTAAGTGATACTACTCCTCCTTCAGTGCAGAATATTGCTGGGAACATTGAAAACATTGAAGCTCAATGTGAACCTTCACCTTTTGTTTTCGACCCGCAATCTTTACAATGGAAAACTTGTGGAAATTTCAAGGCAAAACCAGTGCCTTCTTCTGAACTTAATGTTGGTCATCAATCGAACCTAACCAAGGACAGCCAGGAAATAGACTTTTTTAAAGAAATCATATCTCCTGATATTGTGGAAAAGGTGGCAGAAGAAACAAACAGTTTTTGTGACTTCGTTGGTGAGACCGGAGTTCTTGGAAGGGATACGGAGTACTCCGCAGTCAATCTATGGAAGAACTTAAATTTGAGTGAACTCTACCTTTTCTTTGCTGTACGGTTTTTACAAGCTGTACATGGGCTCAATAATATGTCAGAAGGTTGGTCAACAAAGTCAACTTTACAGGTTTCTATCTTTTCAAAACTAATGTCGCGGAACAGATTTTTTGCCATTCTTAGATTCTTGCATTTTTCTATATATATAAAGTCGCTTTATAACGCACTCTGGCGTTCTACGACACCCAAACGCCACATATGCCTGTCTTCCCAGAGGTTATCGGGCAACTGACACCGCAACATCTCTTCGTCAACGCCCTGCCGCCAACCCTTTACGGGACGTCCCCGTCGCCTCTTCCCAAGTGGTACCCAATCCAAAACTTGTTTGGGCAACCTCTCCTCCGACATTCTTTGCACATGTCCATACCAGCATAACTGCCTGGACATGACGTCGTGCACGATATCTGCATTTTTCTTTGAATGTAAATCAGCCCACTGGTGACAGGATGTATAAAATTCGTTGTGTGTATGATCATGTCAGACATAAGTTTAAGACACTCTTGAAGCCTTATCGTGCATTTTTCTTTGAATGTAAATCAGCCCACTGGTGACAGGATGTATAAAATTCGTTGTGTGTATGATCATGTCAGACATAAGTTTAAGACACTCTTGAAGCCTTCTCAAACTACTTGTATTGATGAGAGTTTGCTTCTTTTTAAAGGGAGACTTTCATTCAAACAATATATCAAAAGAAAGCGAGCGGGTTTCGTTATAAAGTTTTATAAATTTTCTGAAAGCTCCAGTGGCTATATTGTTGATTTCTATATGTATCTCGGAGCAAAGACTGAGTCTAACAAAGATGAATATAAAATAGAGAAGTCTGGTGCTGTATTTTGGAATTTTTTAGCCAACTTGCGTTAAAAATCAGCATAAAGCTGAAAATCTCAATTCAGTGGGAATAAGCTCATCCATAAGCACAATTTTCCCTCAAAGAGATCTGCTGTTTGGTGTGACTCTAGTAACGACCATTCAGGAGGAAAACTGCAGACGCTTTTCGGCCTTACTGGGCCAATCCTCAGTGCAGTGCAATTGCAGTTTCCCTTTGCAAATTGTAGGGCTAATGCCCTAGCTTTTGCCAAATTCCTGTTGATTTTTATGCGATGAACGTAAAAATTCCTCTCAGGAGGACAACTGCAGACGCGTTTCGGCCTTGTGGGCCAATCCCCAGTGCAGTGCAATTGCAGTTCCCTTTTGCAAATTGTAGGGCTAACGTCCTAGCTTTCGCCAAATTCCTGGTGATTTTTATGCGATGTACGTAAAAATGCCTCTCAGGAGGACAACTGCAGACGCGTTTCGGCCTTCTGGGTCCACCAAGGTCCGTTGGTACCTTTACCATCTCACTTTTTTTTACCAATTATTGATAATTTTACCAAGACAGACTGGTAAGCTTATCTAAAACCCGGTATTTTTACTGTTTTTTCAGGTGAGAATACCACTTTAATAGGTAATCAATTCCCGGTAACTTTGCCATTTTATCTCGGTATTTCTACCACTGTCGAAAAAAAATATTGGCGTTTTTACCGGGGTCCAGTAAAATTACCGAGGAAGTCAATAATTTTACCGAGATTTCTCGGTAAAATTACCAATTCCATAAATGGTAATTTTACCAAGAAAAAACCGGGATCAAATAGAACCCTGAATTCTTGGTAATTTTACCCTTCTCTTAGTAAATACACCGAGATTTTTTTTTTTCAGTGCATGTTTCTGAGGAAACTCTGCAACGTTCGAATGTTTTAACGGCGCGTTCCTCCCGAGCGCAAAGAAGTCGGCTATCGGGCCCGGAGCTCACTTGAATAACTCGCTCGAGTCTTTTGCATGATTTACTCCGAAAAAAGGGCGGCGGAAGCGGGGATAAAAGTTCGGAAAGGCGGCGAGGAAATTTCATTAACAGCGGGCGCGGCCCCGCGTCCTCATCCAGGTGGAAGTCATGCAGTCAATTTTCTGTAATTTTATGATCGGGGAAGGAGGAGTGCCGAGCATTGTTCGATATGCCCTCCATGCAAAACCAAATATGCGCCTTATCTCATGACATCTCGAATGAGAGCATCATTATGGACGCCGGGGCTCAGTAAAACGACACCTCGCTAGGTTTTGATCCACCGGTTTATCTCTCCGACTCAAATCATTGCCTTGTTACACTGGTGCGGCCTGAATGATCGATTTTCGATATCTCCCCATTCGAAGCTGACCGATCCTTTTCCGTAGGTTTCAATGCTGCCGTGCTAAGGAAGAACGCCGTATGAACGTTCGAGAGTTGCCAACTTTCCTTCGATAAAATGTTTATTTTTAAGGAACGTTCGGTATGAAGATATTTCCTTGAAATTTTCAGGAACTTTGGGTGAGGTTGGGAACGAAATTATCTAAAAAAAATTGGAAGGAAAATATTCACAAGTTCACCAGGAAATTCGTTTTTTATCGAAGGAAATTTGGCAACGCCTGAGGGTTCATACGGCGTTTTTCCTTAGCACGGCAGAATGGCAGATCAATCGATGTATCGCAAAGCACGCCACGCCTCGTTATCGGGTCTTACAACGCTTGAAAGCAGGGAGGGAAGTGTCGTTGTCAATGGGGTTTTTTCACACTGTGGCTTGGAAATCGTAAGTGGGCAGATTAGCCCTCTGAATAACACCCTATTGATAATTTTTGTAGGTAAT